CGATAAATTTGCCGTTGGAGATACGGAAAATAGGGCTTTAGTGAATCAACGCTGCACAACAGATCGCGAATTTTACTGCTGGTAAATATCTTCGAACAACACAACTTGAACACCTACAGCTTCGAATCACTCAACACCAGTGAAATGAAGCATATTCTAGCTGTTTGACGTGTTTTGGCAGCTATGAATTCGATCTGCTCCCCGAAATATTGCTTGATATAAATATATATATATATATATATATATATATAAGCGCCATCGCACTTAGATGATTTGAGCAAAACGCTTTTACCGGAGTAAATTCAGCAAAGGAGGTTAGAACTGCACAACTGTATAACGCACATGAATTTAGCTCTGTGAAATTCTCTGCACCTCAACAAATTGCACTTTCAATAACTTTAATATCAACAACTCGTAATTCATTCCAAATAGCGAGCAAATACTGCTTCAGAAGGACACGGGTACACACAAACGTAGTTTTAATAATCAGTGTTTTGTATTGCAATCGCATTAAGGAAACCAACCAACCGAAAACTACAGCATGCTAGTTGTATAAACGGAACCACAGTACATTGCACGGATTTGTAAGTTGGATATCCTTTCGCATCACTTTACTTTTCTAATGCGTCGAGTCGCTGCTACTTCTCTAACACGATGTCATTTATAGTGATCATAAGGTGACGCATACCGGGGCCTCAACTCTGTAAGGTCATCGAAAATAGGACACGCAGTGTTAGATGTAAATTGTAATGCAACAACTGGTACTCCATAACGTTTAGCAAGTAAATTGGGGCACAGACAGCGGGCCAGAGCAATTGATGTCGGGGGCTGTAGTTTGATGAACACTGCTCTACACAGTCAAAAGTTTTAGAAAATGCCATATTAAGGTTATCAATTTCGGTCCCACTGTCCGCTGTAGTGGCCCAACTGTCACGTGCAAGCATTGAGTTGCATGCAAACGACCGGTTGTAATGGAGGTCATGTTGCGCTGATAAGATGAGGTTAGATAGTTCTAAATAACCCACTACTGTCTCAATGAGGATCGACTCGCGTCACCATTGCGAGCACTGGGAGAAGATTCACTGGGAGCTAGTTGGCGATTTCTGGACAGTTAACACCCTTGAAAACATTGGTAACGACACACTGCTTTTAAATGTTCGGGACTTGATGTTCACCTATGCATGTTTGTAAGAATCGGATTAACGGTTCGGAAGCTACCGTTATAACCTGCACCGCTCACGAGGGAATGCCCTCAGCTCCGATAGAACTAAGGGTTTGCAACAGTTTTAGCTTCCTTAAAACGGTCGTTTGACTAAAAGTGACGTGGGAAAATTCGTGTGTCTGGGAAATAGAACATGTATGTGACATGCTGGTGATACGTCAGAGTATTGTAGCCATGCACCTTTGGCCGCATGCTCTGGACTTTCAGCGCATCTGCTTTTGTGAGTAGTGGTGAACACCGCGTTCCCTTCCCGAAAGGTCTTGACATGTTTTAACAGTATTTGGAAAATGACACAGAACCCTTCCACTAAACACCGAGGTGTCCTAATTCGCTTTCACCGACAACTTCGATAAGGTGCTTATGCGGCGCCAAACAGTCGCTTCATTTGTTGCCACTAGGGTGAGCTGTGCATTCGCACCACGTTCAGTTTGTTATTACGATTCATTTTCGAATTTTGCTCCGGATGACTAATGGGGATCTTGTCAAAAATGTGATCAGAGCACTGAATCTGCCAACAAAATCCACCTCAATATTATCAGTGGTTTCGTCATTCAACAACCCAAATGGCTTCTCAAACCAGTCCTGTTATTGAGTCGAACAGTGGTTGCACGAAGAAAGTATCTGCGTTTTCGTAGATACTCCACGTAAAAGGCAGTCATATAGTACATTGACGTGATCACTCAGCATCAGAAGACTGTCTAGCTTTTGATTGTCGATCACTCGGGCGAAGTCTGATAACATAACCACTAGCACCGTGTTACATCCATGTCGATGATGAATTGCGTAGTCCATTCAGGTCCAAATGAACAGACCAAACAGATTACGACCGCAAAGTCTCATCTCATCTGTTTACGAACTGATCTGAGTTACCAACCTTTTCAGGAGGAGTATAGAATTCGACCAACCGTATCAGTCTGCAGTTCATCATACTTGTCACTAATTCACTAATTCCGTTTGGATCTCAAAACTGAAAGCCAACATCAATGAGTAGATGAGGTGAAAGCTGCTTTTGACCCAGTACAAATGAGCTTCTTTATATGGCACCATTATACGGATATATCTGCAGGGCAACTATGTTCTAACGCCATTACCATACCCACAAATGTAGTAATGTACCTCGACGTGTTTTCAGCAATTATATCCAATAACAAAAACCTATTATGGGTAGTAAGAAGAAGTAGGATACCAGGTAAGTGTTTCTATGACTGGTCAAAAATATTTTATCGTTGAGTCCAACAGAGCCTGTTATTCCCTATCAAACCTAATGGTCATCACTGCGTGGCATCCTTGCTTTGATTTACACATTTGAGAACACAACTTTCCGTTGCGCACGATCACCATTTATGTTATTTTCCTTCCACGCTAGATGGCAGCGTTAAGACCTTACATAAGAACTGAGCTTCCGCAATAAATATGTGGTCCATACCACAGAAGAATTAGCTTTTGTTGGAATTCTCTGCCTCTTAATGTACAGCTAGCCACTAAGACACTCTACGGCATATTGATCGTTATACTTATCTCTTCGGGTTCTTTCCTCATTTACTTCTGATTGGATGAAGCACTAAGCCATCGATTGATCGTTTGCTCTTATAAATGCTGTCCCAATCAATATTCTCTGTGTTGCTTGAGTATATTTAGATGATATCGTAGGCATCCGTGAGTGGTGAGCAGCATCGATATTTTGGAAGCTTGCTTGAGGATCTACATAGTGAATTATGACAGGAAAAATGTGTGTAGCTCAATGCAGTGCACCGATGTACCCAAATTAGCATAACTAAGGACTCAATATCATTTAGCCCTTAGTGTTTTTCCGTGAAATGAAAATTCGCCCAGCATCAGTGTATAGATATAACCTCGCCAAAATTACAGCTTCTAGGTTCAAAGAAACCACCAGAAATTTATTCGGATAACACCTTTTACAGCTAAGTCATCTAGTTTGGTTGAGGGGGCCTATAATATTCCCCAACATGCATGTGAGCTGGCTTAAAATTTGCGAAAGTAGTATTGGTTGCTTCCGTGTTGCAACTTCTCACCTGTCTAGGCACGCACGGAAACGTATTCTGAGCAACTCGAGCTCAAGCACAGAGCTTGAAGATATAGTTTAATCAAAGATGCATAATTTGTTCTCCGAAAGCCACTTATCGCAAGGTACAGTTGCTTAACCTTCAAATGTCCACTAACGCGTAATCGGTATTTTTCTGTAGTCGCGAATCTTATGATGATTTTGAAAAGCTTTTTTGAACTTTTATGAAAACATATTAGGTTCAAACAGTGTTGTGCATCGAATCCAATGAAATTGGTTATCAGAGTTTCTTACTATATCAGTGTGATAGGCTAATGCGGGCTGTAGATGCCGAAGTTAGTTCAGAAATTAGGTATCTAAAACTCCCTTCCTCCTATTACCTAAATAATGCTTACGACTGCTGCTGTCAAAATACTAGGAATATCAGGTGTTAACTCAAAATGAATGACGGTAAACATTTCAGATATGAAACAATAAGCTAGCACGGTGAAAATAATTAGATAAATGAATAATCAAATTTGTATATTTTCCAACGCGCGAGATACGTGCCCTCTTGCAGCTCCACAACGTCGAGCGACCAAAATCCTTAGAGGAATATTTCATTTTCCCTACCAACGCAGACCGTAATCCCTGGGATTGTACAGTAGTGAATATCGAGGTCAACGAGGAGACTTAAACATGGTTTTCTTAATACTGACGAACCCACCTCACCCATTTCGAAATCTGTTGCAGCTGAGCAAAAATACCAACCTGAGAGGTCATCAGTTCTGACTGGCTACGCACTACCGTCGACTTGATTGTCGGCCCAAAAGTTTCTCCCTCCATGTGTCCCGTGCCTGAAATGCCCTTCCGACTCACGTTATCCTTGCCCCTACGTTAGTGGTTTTGAAAAAACGCCATGAGGGAACGCTTTCGAACTTGCATTACTTAATTTAGTCCGTTACGCTTGGCGGATGACACAACGCAAACCTAACCATCCGCTTAACGGCCCTCTCCGCAACGTGGCTGTGAGGATACATACAGAAGTGTCCATGTGAGTAGCCTGCATGTACCTAAACTGGACTAACCTACTACATCTGTCCCATGAAGCAACGCACGGGTGAGCGTTGTGGTGTCCTATTTTTTTCTTTCTCACGCAGTTACTGAACTATAACAGGTCTCTATACTATTTTGCGTATACACATCCCATTCCCACTTCAAACTATCGTTATGCAGTAGTACATTTAACTCGGTGGACACTTGAAATAGCAATGTGCTTATTGGATGATCCTACAAAGTTTAATTTTTACTCCAACCATTCTACTGGACTTGTGAAGCACACGCTTTTTCCCCGTGATAAATGGTTGTTCATTTTTCATGTATGCTCCAAAAAGCAATCCAAATTATGATTCCACTTCCAACACTTGTACCATAACAGTATAATATCTTAACCTTATTGCTTTTTGTTGATAAACCACAAATCACGCAAAAGAGCCTTACCCATAGCCATCTATGCCTGTATTGTCCTGATTTTATGTGCATTGTCAATAGAAGAAACCCTAATTCGTTGTACACAATAATTATTCGCACTTACGTTCAATGCTTTTTGTCAAACTCAAGAGTTGCGTTGCGTGTCTCGTGATCTCATGGTCCCTGGTGGACCACCTGGAGTCATGTTTGCGCAATCACACTTAATTGTCGAATAGCAAATGCGCGGCCAGCATGTTTTGTGCACCCGGACTTCAGGTGGTATAAGAAGACAAACCTTGACGAAGTGTACGCTGCTAACAAATTCGATCATCCCGTCAAATTCGCTCATCTTGTCCTAGCACTACGTTGGAACGCACGACACATCAGTGAGTATTACCGTTTGTGTAGACGGTTCCACATTGTTTACTCAACGGCTAAGCGTTTTATAACTATTACTTGTCTACCCATCACCATGATAGTGTTTGTTTCACCTTATTTAGGACAGCAATTGTTCCATGCAGGGACGCTTTACTTTTGATCTCATATTAAGTGCACATGTTCTGACCTATTCGTGAGGTACACGTTCTTTGAATAAGCTGAACACGGCAGAATGGCTAATGACATGCTTTTATGCTACTATACACTTAGAAGCATAAGTATTACCTTCTAAAACCAACTTTTGGGCTCCTGCTTAAGATCTACGGATACCTTGGTTTAAAGCAGTCATAGATATCATTATTGATTGCTGTGCTTCAAAGCATAGGCAAATGTTTATAGTGTGGAGTTCGTTGCAAGTGAGCTGTGTAAGAGAACTGGGGGAAGAAACCGAAAGCTGAAAATTCATACCCCGTTAATCCACAAACGAACTGAAACAGGCACAGACAGGCAGAAGTTGTATCAGCAAAACCCCAGTAGTTATCTGGCAACTACAGTTCTCCAGTTAAACGCAACAGCACAGTTAGACTATATATATAAATCCTGCAGTTTCATCGGTCATTTGAAGGCAATCTCTATACTTAAGCCTAGAGTAAGCGAGTTTTAGAAGACAATGTATTGGGGAATTTGGTTTTGGAATTTACCTGAAAACAAAGTACAGCTTTACATAGTAAAACACAGTGGACATTTACACTTAACCGTTTGTCATATAAATGCACCACAGACACATGATCCCGAATCCGAGAAAGATGCTAAACTAGGCGCTACGATCGCGTAAAAGTAACGCTCTAGCTGACCGTTATATTTTTACGCATAACCAAAGGTTAACGGAAAGGCAACTTCTGCATTTAGTTAGACAACTAGGGACAATTTAAGGAGGCTGTCACAGTCCTTTTTTATGCAGTAACTCTGAGTACAAATCAATCGCCTTTGTCTTAGTACGGTACATCAATATGTTTCACTCGTGAGCCATTGCAAGTAGATATTTTTGGTGTCTTTCCTTCTAGACAATAATACAGAACCACTTATATCACGCAGATGCTTGGTGAATTTGGAACTCACCGTGTGTTGCGTACGGTTTCGACAGCTGTCACCACTTACCGCAGCATATCCTTCATCTTGATTTATCCGTTGGTCCTGCTGGTCTTGCCTTTAATGCTACCCAGCCAAGTGAGTTGTAGATCGATATTGCGAGTTTGAATTCTTTTGTTGATTAAATGTTATGGGTATGAAATGAGGAGCAATCAGAAGAATGACTTTCAAGGTATCACTGGTTCCGTGCAGACAAACTTATTACCTTGAATTCAATGAATATGGACCAAAGCTAAACTTGACATTTTTGTCTGAGGCTATTTGAACCTGCTCCGCAACGTGTAAAGAATAGAACCAATGCAACAACATATAAGCGACTTTTTTATGTTCCACGGTATGCTGAAGTTGATGCTGCATAAATCAAGCTTCTTTACCTCAGTTGGGTTACCCTGAATGCTGTTAAACTTGGTCTTTTTACAGGGGCAAATATTCACACTTTATTTGCTTTGCTCAACCCGGTTATTCTGCTACACATTTCGTATCAATTATGCGTGCTTATTTTACTTCAAATTTGAAGTTTGTTGATTTACATCCCCGGTGTAGCTTCGCTTGGAGTGAATGCATTAACCAATCTTGTACACATGATGCTTTCATCACTCGATACAAAATACAAACCCACGCGGTTCGGCCTCCTAGATTACAGCAACGCTTTCGGCTGTGTAAACCGAGAGGTACAGTTACATCATCTGCTATATTCCGGAGTTTAACCGCCCTTAGTACATTTTTACATACTATTTTGCCAATCGTATGCAGTTCACCAAGATTATGGGGATAAAGCTCTTTCCCACTTAGAACAAATGTAGATGTTCTTCAGGGACTTATTTGGTTCCCATTCCTGTTGTTCATCTACATTAACTCCATTTCCGCTCTAAAGGAAGCCATTCTTCTAAAAGTATGCTGATGATGTGATAGTTGGTTTCCACAATCACACCAAAGATTCATCGGCCAATTTGAAATGCTTCTTGGAAAACCGCCCCTCCTGATCCAAATCCCGCTGCATTTCCCTTAATGCATCAAAGTGTAATGATGTTATTTTCTCGCTAACCAAGGAAACTTGTTAATAACAGCTACTGAAGCACACCCCGCTTCTTAGTATCGACAGTATCAACCTAAACACCTGTACATTGGTGAAATATCTCGGAGTTACACTAACTCGGGATCTCACATGGTCGCAGCACGTGACGGAGACATTTACCAAAGTCTGGAGGCTAACGTTCTACGTCTCCCGACTTAGATCATCATCCGTGCCTTGGTATTCCGTTTGTCACCACTTACGTAATACCGCACTGGACCTATTGCTGAAAAGTGTTATTTCGCAGTCACTTAAACGGGCGCGGCAAAAGGATCAAAGGGCTCCTGAAGCAAGTGTCTATGCTAATGTTTATTGACATCGTTGTGTGCCATCATGTTCGTTCCAGCGTAAACTGGCTTCCAAGATACCGATTTCTGCCAGTCACCCAGTCCATTGTGCCTTGTCGGAATGTATCTCTACTTCTTCGACCAAACAAACATATAAAGTCATTTATTTCTGCACACAGACCTACCGTACGTCAGATATTCCCTATCTGTCACTTTTGCTGAGGGATCATAATGCAGTTAAACAAGACTTTATTGCTAGAGTGAATCGATGATATCACCACTGCCACATTTTTAATTTGGTGGCGCATCGCATACATTTGCCATATTTTTATGTGCTTTTATTTGTGTCGTTAGCGTTTGCGTTGTAGCTGAATATTCACTCTTCATGGGTGCATAAATCGCATTGTTGACTTGTCTTGGCCTGAATGCTGACAGAGTACCCACCTGTTTAACACACTCCATGTTTATTACTGGCTATATAGAACAGTTGGTCGTCACTTGTGGAGACAGGGTGCACCGTCCTCTTTAGCGTGCTGGGATCAAATAGTGGTTCCATCCAGTGTGGAACAGACTACGACCCAGGCAGCGCCTTGGGTACGTCTGATACGCATGGTTCCTCAAATAGATAGCCAGGAATGCTGTTGCTGTGCATGTTGAAGGAGCATGGAAGGGCTCCGTTGTCGGAACGTGGCTCCCATCCACATGCCTCCTGGTCTTATTTATTCGGGTTTACACCGGACATGGGGGTTTGGATAGATACTGTTATTACTACTACTACTACCACTAATAATAATAATAATAGTAATAATACGTATATTTCTCTTGATGAGAGAAACTGTGTCTATACCTGCACAGACCAATTTGTACAGAAGTCTCCATGCTCTTGCATGGGGGCCATGCGTAGATGGAGTAGTTAGATATGCGTTTCATGTAATAACATGCTGGTGATTGCTTCAGGCCAAAACCTAGTTATGAAACATTGGTGTTTAGGTGCTTTTTTGGGCCCCTCTTGGCATAGGTGTGGGGGGTGCAGCGCAAGCCACCCATGCTCCCTCTGTAAGCGCAGACGTAATGTGGCTGTCCCCCTGGATGTCACAGTTACAGACAAAGCCGGAATCGGATACCGCCAAGCATGTTTGCCATGCCACGAGGAAGACAGCCCCAGGAATCATGAGCACATCCAAATGAAATGTTGCCAAATGGAAGTTGAAAATTTTCGCATGTCCTTCATGCCACAACTCAATGAAGAGTGCATCAGCGTTTTGGAGAAGGACCTCACAACCGTTCAGTCATTCTAGGCGAATCGATTGCAGAGCTTTCAGGACTTGTTTCGTTTTCTTCTTTACCTGCATGTATTGGCTTACAAAATGGTGTCATGAATAAAGTCACCCCCGACAGTTAATGGACGTAGACGCATAACGTTATAACATGGGGGTGAAGGCTGCAACAGTGGAACAAATTTCTGGTTGCCGTTGATTTGTGCGAAACATAGGTAAATTTGCGCAGACATAGGACAACCTGGACATCACCTGATATTTAAAATCCAACGAAAACGGACGTAGTCATTACCATTTCTTATAAGTGCTGGATCTCCGTATTTATGAATAATGCCGCAATTACGTGTATATTTTCCGTTCGATAAGGTTATCACGGCTAGTGGCAAGTATGGTTTTATCTCCATGTAGAGCTCTTTTAATAAGCATACCTTTTAAATAAACAACTTAATTCATACCATTTTATAACCCACCACGCTCACTGACTTTGTATTCTTTAGCCTTCGAAAGGTGCCTACATCCTCTTGCTAATGTCCGGCTTCTGGGTGACCGAAGTGATACCTATATACGTCACAGCACTGATTCCCGTCCTTTTGGGTCCCGCGATGGGTATTATTCCGTCCTCAAAGATATGTCCTGCCTACATGAAGGTAGGTTTGTTATTACTTATTTGGTCGGATCTGAGTGGATGATGCCTCCTTAATTTTTGCAAGTTTCTCACAGAAAACTGCAAGGAGCCTATTTTCTACTCTAAACGCACTATTAAAACTTCAAGCTTTCCTTTAAATTTTTTGAGCTTCTATGTATAACGTGGAATACAATTGTTTCCAAATCATATGTAAATAATTCTGCGTTCGTCCCTTTCAGGACACAAACATGCTATTTGTGGGAGGGCTGTTCATTGCTTGTGCCCTAGAACACCATCAATTACACAAACGAATTGCGATTACTGCCTTAAAGATAGTCGGAAGTGATCCCAAAATGTAAGCATTGTTTACATGTTAAGTGAGTTTTACTTACTAAAGAGATGGTTGCTAATTCACATAAAAGATACACCTTTGAGGAAAGTCCAAAGTGCTGTCAATAAATTTCCTTGTATAAGCTATCTCCTCAGTTTACCTTCAAACCTGCTTGGAGGACGACTCTGGGTCATTCCATTCGCTTGTGTTGTGTGTCTGAATTTGTGTCGGAATCGCAGTGAACTACTATTATAGGTGTGTTTTTGCTAACACACGCCCGCTTTATCTACGGATTACTCCTGGTCGATTTTGTAGCCTACGGAAATTAAACTTGCCCGTTTGCCTCACTGACAAAGTTAACAGACTTGAAGCATCCAGAAAAGGATAAAAAAGCAATAAGCCCCTAGTTTGTGAAGAAATTATTTTGCCCAGTGAAGGTAATAGATGTTCAGCGAAAAATTTAAATTTTCAGCAAATCACGGCCACAATATTTTTACTTGTTATTAGGTATTGCATAATTACTGAATACAGTTATATATAGTTACTATGTGCTTACCTTTAGTATGAAGAACAGTGTAATAAAAGATGCAGGCTATTTAATTCACTTCGGTGTCCAAAATCCTGCATACTGGGTGCGAATACCATAAAGCCTAGCCGATAGCTCGCATGGGTCTACCCTTTCAAATGAGGAAATTGCTGCTGTACGAACGATCATTTGAGAATTGTTGCGTCCCAGCCGAATGCACCTGCTGCATTTACAAAGAAATTCTCGTTCATACTCTCATCATCGATCTTTGGTCTAAGACATGCTTATTATTTTACATTGTCTATTGTTCCGGTCACTCAACTTCAGTCTTATTTTACCACAAGAATGATATGAATTTCTTTGTCTTTTGCCTTCAGAGGTGTATAGATGTTCGTTTTCCTAACCTATCTCGGTCTTTCTACCGGTGACCAAATATGTTTCACGTTCTCCCTTCACTCTCTCTCTCTCTTTCTATAGCCTGATGCTCGGCTTCATGGTGCCCACGTGGTTTCTCTCAATGTGGATGTGTAACACAGCAACCACAGCGATGATGATAACGATTGTGGAAGCCGTACTGAACAGCTTGGAAACAATTGAAGCGGGTTAGTGGGACGCATTTATAATATTAACCGAAAGTTGGCTTACTTCGCTCATGGTTTAAATCAAGCGTAGATCCTGATAAGCATTTCTAAAGGCTTGACAGTCGTGTGCACTCTGTTTTGAAATACCAATTAGAAGTGCTGTGCCGAAGTTTTTTCTCTAAAATGTGTTCACCTGGTAGCTGATGTTCTTCACTACATTTGTTACTTGTTCACTGATATTTGTGTGATCAGTTTAATTAGTGCGCTTGCCAATTCAAAACAAAATAAGAAAATTTTGAATTTACTTCGAAAGACAAGGTAGGTAGACAGATTTTGTTGGTTCTTAATCTTAAAAGAACGTAAAAAGGAACTAATGGTTTAGGTAATGTATCAAATGGTATACACATGGTATCAGTTAAGTGTTAGCTGGATCGTAATCCTTAAAGCACTGGCCAATTAAAGTCCCAGGGCGGTGTACAGCCGCCAATGCTGATATATTCTCCCGACTGAGTACGTTTCATGCCTTTTAACAGACATTTTCTTAATTTGCATGATATTAAAATGTATCATTCTAAATAGGACTTCGCTAAAGAATTCGCTGATTGGGTACACCATACCAATGGGTGGAATTATTTCTCTATCAGCCAACACATAGTAACCTGGTGGCCAAATCTTTTTGGAGCATTTATCCCAGTATGGGTCATGTATGCACCGCATTCTAAAACAATTATGAAGTGTCTTATGTCTATGTAATGAACATTTTCCAAGTGAAACCTAGCAGGTACGGATTCTATCGCCTGCTAAGATCTCTGAATGCCTCAATATATTTGTGACACATCCCGCTCTCGATATGTTGCGGAACAATGGAACTGGCAGGAAATTTCACCCAAGGCAAATCTGTGTTTCGCGTAATATGTCCGGAAATCTAGCTGGACAATCTTCTTACATTTTAGACTAAGTACAACACACCGCACAAAATCTTCAGCTGCTATTCTCTCGTGAATTACAATCGCTCATTAATTCGTATATCTGTTATGCGAGGTTTATAAACTATTCCGAAGATTAAAGTGAGAAAGAACTGCATAGCATCAGGTATACATCACACGTTAATAGTCATCACAAAAATCTAAATTATTATATAGAGAAATATAGAGGGAAGTCAGAAGAACGGATTTCCCCGTGCACCAGGTCTTAGCTACACCACCGTAAACGAGAGAATATAATGATAGAAGATGTCGCCATCGTTTACACCAGTACATAAAGCGGTTATTATGCAGCTGTTTTAGTGCTGATCAATCAAACCAGCAAATTGCGGGGTGAATTCCAATTAGACAGGCTGCACTCTCAAGCATGGTGCAGTTGGCGTCTACCAGACTGACTGTACTTGCGGTAGCAGGTACATTGGCCACACTGAAAGAAAACTGTGTATCTGAGCTTCGGGGCACATGATGCAGAATCCGGATTCGACTGGGTCTAAATTACCTACAAGCTCAAGTGCTCGACACACGCTTTAATACACGATATTCAGGATTCTTGGCAAGAAAGGTACTCTCCTCCTGCTCCTGGTTGCTGAGGCTTCCGCCATCCAGCTACTGAAGCCCGATCTATGCAAGCATTTTGACCTCGTGACCAGGTTTGTACTGCCCTATTCGATGCGAACTTTCCCTATAAGCACGTTGACACTGCTAATTATCGACTCTTTGTATTGATCACTCGTCAGTCTCATTTGTTAAAAGATTTGCCAACTGTGTACACACGGTGGACAAAGAATGCGCGAAATAAGATAATTTCAAATTACCGCAATAATTGTTTATTTTTACCTCTTTGAACATAAGGGATAGTATAGCGTTGAAGGGCGCAGAAGTGTATCGCTGTTCTTATTGTGGCCACAGTGTGTATTGGAGCTTTGTTCGGGTTCACTTCCAATTATCTTCGAAAAGTAGCGTTTGTATGTGTGCAGGTGAAGGTGAACTTAACTGATATTATCGGATTTCCCACGAACCAATTGTGCAATCTGTCGGTACGATGAGTAACCAATTCTCATTGGGTATCTCAACCTCACTTCATTTACCAAAGAATATTACTCTGTGAAGTCAATTAAATGAGTTCAAAAACAACTGGTTTCATATGAAGGCACTATGTGATCTCGTAGCAAGAAGTAAAATACGCACCAAAATCCTCATCAAAAGAAGAACATGTTATTTGATCGGAACCACAAGCATTTTCAGTAACTAGGAGTCTTTGCTTTTGCTGGACTTCCGTAAAATCACGTGTGACATCCAGATGAGATAGAACATTAGGGTTACAAGCATAAACCGCACAAAATGGCCGCTTACTGACATATGGTAATCAATGCGCGCAAAGATTGGCATACTGATGAAGTACAAAAGCAATTGTTGCAAGTCACGTCTAAAATGTTTGTGCAGTTTGCATAATACGTCACTGCAAGAATAGACGCTTAATTTCCTAGTTAGCAATCGTCGCGGTTCATGGAATGCACATTATGCAAAATTAATTCAGAATGGCAATCAAAGTAACTGTCGAGTACCCGTAAAACGGCACACCCACTTCTGAATTTTAGATTAGGACTAAATTGGGGCATGTGATCAAACATCTATGCCTAAGTGCGCTGCCATTAGCTTCTGCTAAATTCGTTATCAGCTGAAGTAGCAATTATTACTGACTTGGTGGGATTGAGGATGAGATCACGAACCGTATAGCAAAAGCTCGGGGCGCTTTTGCTTACCTTCGCCACTTATGGCGCTGGCGCGACATCACTCTTGCCCTGAAGGGTAGAGTGTACAATGCAGCGGTACGTTCGACCCTACTGTACGGTTGTGAAACCTCGCCGCTTAAAGCAGCGGACTTGAAGAGGCTAGTTACCTTCGACCACCGGTGCCTTCGTAATTTAGCTCACATTTGGTGGGAACACCGCGTGAGTAACGTGCGTGTTCGACGCCTTGTTTACGGCACAGGAAAAGGACATGAACAGCTCAGCACCGTCATTTCACGCACCAGGCTTCGATGGCTCGGCCACGTGTTACGCATGCCAGCCCACCGACTCCCGCGACGTGCTTTGTTTGCGCGCCGGGGTTGTGGATGGAATAAGAGGAGGGGTGGCCAAGCGTTGACTTAATCGAGAGGAATGAAGGCCCTCACTTTTGTATTGGCCTCGGTTGGAGCGTCTCGGCTCCTTGGTTGGGGTCCGAAAGACGATGAGCACGTTTGGTTGGACACACTTGATGATATGGTTAGGAGCCGACCTCAGTGACGTTCGTGCTGTGAGTTTCTTTGCCCCACCCTTTCCCTCTTAGCCTCCCTCTACAACCCCGAGTTCATTATTTAGCTTCATATAATTTCGCACAATATTTTTCTGAAGCACAGTAGCCGACTAGTGACTTCCGGAACGATGCCTATCCGTTATCGGAAGCTCAGCCGGTTTGCAACAGTTGCTTTTTATCTGCTTTTTTCTATGTATTGCGGCACAGTAGCTGAGGTGTTCCCCACCTCTAGCTAACGTGTATGGTGATGATTCTGATCCGGTACCTAAACGTTGTCTTGTAACTTCAGACCCGCACCTAATTGAGGCTGGGAGATTGTAGGCGCATTAGTGCAAATGATACAAGAGAAATCAGAGAGAAACAACCTACTAATTTAACCTGCTAAGAGGGGTGCAAATATTATATTACACGTGGAGTGCTATGTCTAGGCTATTAGAAGTTATACATTTAGAATTCTGGTATGATTCGGTAGCATACTGAGCTGAATGAGTATGTCCTCAGTTAGTGTATGGAGCGACGTTGCAACGCTAATTTGACAAACACAAGCATTTCGAATAGAGATGGAAATGGAGTTCATGTCTGCAAGATCGGCACGTTTCTGAGATAAAATGTCATCGCAAGACGAACGATTCATGTGGATCAGTAGAGCCACACAAGGGTCATTTCAGATAAAAACTGGATGAGATGCGGGTAAATGTATACGGAGGAGTGCCCGTTTATATTTGGACAAAACATTACAAATTAAAGGCAAATAACAGTCGGTTAGAAAAGTAGATCACAAGTCCTTCTTGGTGTAATTAAGCGTTACAAACTAACAGATCCTTAATTGGACAATAGGTCGGTGATACTCTCCATAATTCGCTTTAAGGTGATCTAGCCAAGTGCTTAAGGTGCTCTTAAGGCCCTCAATTTGTGGTCGACATTTGTTAATGCATAGTTTAAAGAGAAGTGTTATGGGCATTGCAAAGTTCGGATAACATCATCATCATCATCATCGACAGCAACAACAACAACAGCAATACATCAGCCATTTGAACTGATGCTTCGTTGCCATACAACCATGATGACCTATGAAATAAAGAATAATAATAGGGAGAGAAGGGGGACTTACCTGAAAACCTTAATGCCCTAACTAAACATTCAGGTTCAAGGCGCCTACACCTTGTGTAGACAACATATCGTCACAAGCAGCTGACTATTGTGCAAATATGTGGGGACATCAGCGAGACAGCTTCCTTGCGGCTTTCAGTGCCCCGCGTAATAATCCGTCATTACCCCGCGGATAACTCAGCCCCAAACACGCCTTAAAAAGCCTGTCCGACTAGGAGACGATAACAGTCGCGCCACTGGTGCCGACTCCGCGCAAAACCTTGTTACTTCTAGAGCCAAGCACAACCCTGGTAATGTGCACTCCAAAATGGAAGGTGAGACGGACAAACGGGAAACAGTTTGGCCGATAGTGACTTCATTTCCCGCCGCCAAATCAACCATTTTTCATCGCGCCTTGCGCCACTCTATATCTGGAAAACAGAAAAGACCCTCCTCAGTAAGCAATGACTGCGCAGTCCCAGTAGGTGCCCAAGCCCAAGGAAACTATTCACTGCTGTCTATTACTCCAACTAACTAGGAAGATTCTCGCTGTCTAGTACTCGCTTACGTACATCGTTGCGGACACGCTGGTGCTATCCGATGCCAGAAAATATCTAGGACTTGACAGTGTCTCAGAACCTCATATCCAAA